ATGAAATTCGAAATGATGCAAGCCTGTGGATTGTCGAATTGACTTCTATGTAAGCTGTTAGCGACCTTAACTCTGTTCCTACCATGCCCTTCTGCAAAAAAAAATATATGGAGCAGCACCGGGTTATCTTGCAAGGCTAATTGAATTACTAGAAAGTGACAGTCTGCGCTCAATTACCGGTTTCTTGGCGCAATGTGGCAAATCTGTCGATATTTACCGGCGTGGTTAGACTGAGATTTTTTTGAAATTAGTCCATAGCGCCAGTATAATCCCTTCTTGGGAACCTCCGTTAAGTCGAATAGTTTTTAGGAAAACAAGTGCTGCCAATTGTGCTTCGTAAGAATTATTTTTGCGTACCATCAGAGCACCATAGAATAGAGAGAACGTTCATTTTTTTCCGCGCTTTCAGAAATTCCTGTTGGGCAATTTTTTACAGAAATTCAAATTCTTTCGATTTTATTCTACAGCATTGCACTTATACCAAGAGCGCTTCCATATCAAAATAATTTGGTGAGGTAAAGGATCTGGTTCTTAAAGATCACAAGAAAATGGGAATCCGAGACATGCAAGTTTTTGATATGAAAAGGGCAGTTTAACCATAAAACTGTTCCACTACGCTAGCAGAGAAAATGGTGCTTTTCTCCTGTTACACGCGTGTACCGCCAAAGTTGAATAAAAAATTGGAAAAGCATTTCTTGTCCTTGTTGCTTTTCATGGTGAGCGTTGTTAACTGCTCTCCAGCCAGATCCGCTGTTTGTCTCATTGTGCTTACCTTTTATTGCTTCCTTGAGTTCTTATTGTCTCCACCCATAAACTTGAGGTTTATTGCAATCAGGGGACATCATCTTAGTCAGTCAACTAAGGCACGCGCGGTCGCCGAGCGATATTTCGTTAAGATTTGTGCGTGTCGAAGCCCAACGCGTTGATTAATTCATTACGCGACTTGAAATTCCAAATTTCTGTAGGTTTTTTTACAAGTCTGTGCGTAGAAAAGCACAAGGAGGACAAGCACGGTTGTTTCCGTGCTGGTTAATCTTTCATGGAGCCTAAAGCAGAAATTTCGCGCCCAAAGTTATCAGAGGTCAACTTTTGTAGAGCTACGGTTCACTGAGATACTCTGTTTTCATCACTATTTCGGCTTTGGCGAGCTCTCGCATTTGGAGGAAAATTGTTTTGGTAGCCAACCGTAGATGAAATCGTTGTTCTGTGTGTCTTTGTGATTGTACGGCAGATGTGAAAGTAAATATTTGAAGCGTTTCGAACCATTTGATTCCACTATCAGCGTCCATCTATCACTTTTTGAGTCTCGTAGTGACCTTTAAACTGCCCTCGTCCTACTGAAGGAATCAATAAACTGGTGCAATTTTGAGTTAGCGCTTGTGTCATCCCTAATTTTCTCCGATGCAACAAATAAAATATTCAAGTTGCGTTCCATTACCCCACGAAATCCTCAGACTTTTTTTAAAGCCATAGGGAACCTAAATGGGTGCAAAAGTGAATTCAGAGTAGTCAAAGAGCATTGATTAAAATAGCTAACCCAAGGGTTGATAACTAAATAACTATTTCAGCGATTGTCAACACGGCTATATATAGCTTCGGAGAAGTCGGCCGAACATACGATGGGGTCTCTATATCGTAGTGAGCCGATGAAACTTTGTGAAATGATATTGGTGAAGGATGCTGCTTACGATTGTGTCGGTGAACTTGGAAAATACGGCAATGTACAGTTCAATGATGTTAGTTTTCATTTTGAATAGTTACATTGAGAACAACCTCGCATGATATTTCTTCATTTTTCTTTTTCTCAAGTTAATGATGAGTCGCAAATGTTCTCCCTTCCACGACAGATTTAGAAATTGCAAAAATTTCCGCTGTCTCTTTTTCTCCCTAGGAATCCCTTTGTGCAAAAAGAGAAAAATTCTGGATTCGATTCCCTCGTAAACTTGCCGCACAAGTTAAAAATTTAATTTGAATCAGCCGAATTGAAGGCATTCAGAAGTTTTCGCCACATTCTCTTCACTCATTTTTGCACGATTTCTGGCTTTCTGAATAAATTGTCTCCTTTTGATAAGTGCTGACCTAATTGGTTGATTAAAGTGTTTCGAGTTGAACTCATATTAGTGATTAGGATCTTGAGATCAGGTAATACACTGGTGGCAAAATGTAAGGACGATACTGTGAAGTATCATAGCCTTTTCTGATAGCTTTGTGGACCGTTTAACGGTTCCTGTTAACTGCTTTCTTTAGTGCCTTGTGGCAGCTCTTTGTATGTGTGGTTAGGTTCCATAGAGTCATGTTACGCGCCAGTAACACGTCGTTGGAAAAGCTACGTTCGTCCCTAAGTTTTGCACCAGTGTAATGATACTCAACGTCAATTTTAGATTTATTCCTCTTACCAGGAAGGTCTCTTCAGGACATGGAGCCCTTTTTTGAAAACGGTTTTTTGCATGATAAAGGGGCACATGCATGGAGTACAAAACTAGGCTCCATTTTTTCTGAGCGGCCCTGTGAGTGCCAAAAAAGGTATGAAAAATTGGTCGAGGGATCGGTCCCGGCTGATGACAAAATTTTGCATTTCATGTTAGCGCATGTTAAATGACTCCAAATGTTACCGCCGATAAAAATAGGTACTGTTCTTACAATCAGGGTCATCATCAACCTTTCTGATTAGCTTTCTGCCCAGAATTGGGGCGAAAATTGTATGGCGCTAAAGCGGCGCCGAGTTGGTGCCCGAGGAGGCTAAAATGGCGCAATATCGCGCCTCCATCAAAAAAAAATGGACGTCAGATTCGTAATCAGCGCCTATAATTACCCTTATAGCCGCAGTTTTAGAGAAGATCAAGATTTCGGCCCGAATTCAAAAATTGGGCCATGGGTTAGCCCATAGTCAGTACGGCATGCACGCTTCCCACTTGGAAGACAGCTTCGAGATGATAGCAAGCGACACGTTTGGTTGATAGTTACACTTCCACCGCAGTTCCTGCCCATGGGCAATCTGGCATCACCCCTTGATCTCGTCGATGCATGGCGTATGCCTGGAGGGCACTGGCATACGTCAATGAGCATCCTGGACGTTCCTCAACGCCGGCAATCTGCCTTCAAGGGAAATGGAGTGGGTGTTCCTTGCGAAGAAAATGGCAACTTCACTTTTCTGGCGTTCGTTAGATGCAGTTGGTGTGATCCTGCGCCTGTGATTCAGATGCTTCATTGAGTTTACCATAACTGCTAGTTATTTATTGCTTGTAAACGGAATTTCGTACACAACTGAAAAAACATGGTACTACGAAACATCGCAGAATTGTGGGAGAAAGTCTTGGAAATGACACCTATAGGCTTTAAGTTCACGCGCAAGCACGTGCAAATGCAGAAAAGTGATAATCGGAAAAATGCAAAAGTCCGAGCATGGAGGGGAACCGAACCATCAACTTCGAACAAACCGTGCCAACTAGGAGTCCATCACGCTATCCACTCGACCATCCAACCACCGCTGTGCAATGAATGTCAACGACTCTGATGAAACTTCCTTGTGCTTTTGAGCACTTATTATATACAATTTTTGGTATTGGCTTTATTCCACGCTGTTTTCAACGTTCAGGTGAAGAAAACCTTCTATTGTGCGTCCACTTAACATAACGAGTGATATAAACTACGTTGAAGGTGTGAAAACTCCGATTCTGAAGAAATTTTTTTCACTCC